GATAGGGAATGGCAAAGGACACTCTGACAAAGGAGATTAATCAGAACAGGCTTTGACAAGCACTGTGGCAATTGGACAATTAAAACAGACATTCAGGGTGGGGGAAGAAGAATGAACTGGGGAGGAGGGTAGAGAAAACAGTGCAACAATGAATGAATGAAAACCAAAAATAAATGAATGAATGAATGAATGAATGAATGAACAAACAAATAAACAAACAAACCTTAAAAAAAAAAGGTGAGGTTGTGGAGAAACTGGAACCCTTATTCACTCTTGGTGGGAGTGTAAAATGGTGCAACCACTATGGAAGGCAGTATGGCGCTTTCTCAAAAAGTTGCAAATAAAAATACCATTTGACCCAGCAATTCCACAATATACCCTAATGAAACCATAACCGTCACCCTTGCAGATATATGCACAACCATGTTTACTGTGGCTTTGTTTGCAATAACAAAGAGTTAGAAACAACCCAAGTGCCCATCAACAAACAAATGGATAGAGAAGCTCTGCTGTATTCACACAATGGAATACTATGCAGCATTGAAAAACAAGGACCTCATGAAATATTATACAAAATGGGTGACCCTGGAGGACATTATGCTGAGTGAGATATCTCAGTCACAAAAGGACAAATATTATGTAGGGCCACTGTTGTAAAAGGGGACTGACATTGGGGTTGAGGGAAGATAGAGGAAAGGATATATAATGTATACTGCACTGAAACAGATGAGGGAGAGAACTGTTTAAAAGGGATATATTAAGTATTATTGTCACGACAAGAGTCCAGAATGAAGACTGCACAGTGGAGTGAACTTGGGGGAGGGACTGTGTAACAATGAAAGAATTTTTCTTTTACTTTTCAAAGAGAAGAGCGAATTGTGGAGGAAGGGGTGGGCAGGAAGAAAAGTGCACAATCAATGAATGGAAACCCTAAGTCTCTGTAAACTTTCATTGAAATTAAATAAAATAAAAAATAAATCAATAAATAAAAAAGAAACTGCAACCTAGTGCTCCTTAAAGGCAAGAATGGTGAAATTTCATGTCACTTATTTTGGGCATATTTTCAGGAGAAATAAGTCCTTGAAGAGAGACATCATGCCAGGAAAGTAGAGAGGGTCAGTGAAAGAGGAAAACTCTCAATGAGATAGACTGACACAATGACTACCATAATGGGCTTGAACATGACAGATTGTGAGGCTGCTGCAGGATAGGGCACGATTCAGACTTCTTGTTCATATGGTCACTATAAGACATAGTCGGCAGCACATAACAAGAACAGTGGGATTTCTAGACCATGTGATATTTCTATTCTTCCTAAGGATGCATCAAACTGCTTTCCACAGTAGTTACACCACTTTATAATCCCACTGGCAGTAATCCCTCTACATACTTGCCAGTATTCGTTGTTGATTGTTACTGAACTTCGCTATTGATGCTAGGATGAGATGATTATCTCACTATTGTTTTATCTTTCTAATAGTTAATAATTATGAGCTTTTCTTCATGTGTTTGTTGGCCATCTGATAATCATTTCTGCTAAAATGTCTTTTCATGTTCTTAGCCCATTTCTCAATTGAATTGTTGGGGTGTTTTGTGTTTTTTTTTCCAGATTGGAGGAAGATTCATCAGCAGTTTAAACTGCACAGATGACACAAACTTGCTTGAAGAAAGTGAAGAACACTTGATGCACATATTGAAGAACAAAGCCTTCAATATGAACTATATCTCAACAGCAAGAAAACAAAAATTCTTGCAACTAGATCAAAAGACAACTCTATGACGAATTATGGAGAAAAGATTGAAGTTGCCAATGATTCCATTTTACTTGGATCCACAATAAATACCCATGATAGCACCAAGAAATTTAAAGATGCTTTGTTGTATCAGATAAACTGGCTGTCAAATACTTTTTAAAAAATGCTTTAAAAAAAACAAAAAATAAAAAAACACCAGGATATCAGTTTAAAGATTAAGATGCATCTGACTTAGCC